TATGCGTAAAGGGAGAGAGAGGCAAACATGCCAGCCAGTGTTACACTGTGTGTGGGTGTCTGTGTGTGTGTGTGTGTGTGTGTGTGTGTGTGTGTGCCAGGAGAACAATGTATTGAAGCACCAGTGAACATCTGGCCTATGTGCCAATGATTGGTTGGGGAAGTTCCTCAGGATATAACACTTGAAAATGTCTTGGCATGTTCATGACAACAGCAGTGCAGTTTGTGCAGCGAGTATGTGATGATTGTATTTTGTGCATATGGACGTGCTTTTGATAGGTGATTATAATTGTGATGCACGTGTGTGAGGGATGCTTGTATTGTACATGTGAGAAAACTATTATGTGTGAGTGAGTTTAAGGTGATTGTATTCTTATGATTGTGTGTGAGTGGTGATTGTACAAAACTTGCATGTAAAATTGTATTCTTGTGTGTGTGTTGGGAGCTTTTACCTCCCACCATTAGCTCTACACCCTTTTTTGAGCAGGCGGATGATTCTTCCCTTGATTACTATTTAGACTTCCGCTCGTTTACAGAGCACCATCTCTCCTTTGTTTTATCTCTCATTTATACCTTCTGCTAGCTCATTATTCCTCTTTCTCTGGTATCATTTTATTTTCTTTGCCTGTGGTTCATAATAGAAGTTCTTGGGTTCAGCAAGAGGCCAGTAGGACTTTTGATTTACTACTTGTCTTTTCTTGCTTGCTTCCATGTCCCCCTCTTCCTTTTCCCCTTTCTTTTTACTCTCCTCTATATTTTTGGTCTTCTTTACAGTTCACTTCTCTCCTTTGTGACGCTCAAACTCTGTTCACCCTTCTAACAGGCTGCACAAGTCTAGTTTTGTACGCCAGCAACTGCACATGTGTATGTTGTGTTTGTGTGTGCCGTAGAGGAAGTGGTCCTCATTGGCAAGAGTCACCCGGTGGAGGCGGTGGGCGGCGGGCCGTGGAAGATGTGGCAGGGTTGTTAAAAGTGTTGTTAAGAGAGCGGCTGGCAGCTGTTCCTGACAGGTTGGGGATGGAAGGACAGATGGTGTTTGATTAGTGAACAGACCGCTGATGGAAGGAGAAATGGAGGGAGAAATGAGGGAGGGGGGACGGATGTCAGTTAGGAGGGAGGGCAAAAAGAAGGATGGGTAGATTCTTTAACTTAAGGATGGAGAGATGATATATCAGTGGATGGATGGAAGAATATATGGATACATACATAATGTTTTGGAAAATGCAATGATTTTTTGACAGATCATGACTTGATGGAAGGAGGTGGTTGGTTGAATGTCTGAAACATTACATAAGGGAGATGTATAAGAGATCAAATTGGGTGGAAACAGCAGCTTGACCTGATGGAGACAGGAGCAGATGCAGAGCATGCTGGGAGGAGAAGGTGAAAATGCTGTCAGGGCAGCTGTTCTGTAGCTCGGTTCACCTGGGTGCCATCTTAAAGAACTGATGCAAACACACCTGCAGTGCTGACTGATTAAAGTCTGTTCAACAATCAAACAGCAACCGTTGCAGCCACTGATGGTCCGATTCAATCACTCATTTATTTGAATGATGCCTTCAAGTTAATTTAACAGTTTAGTTTTCTGAGAGGACAGTCGGAGGTCAATAGGGCTCTGAGGTTTTACTTGAGCTGCTTGAAATACAAACAAACACACTACCTACCAGGGGTGGTTGAATCGGTGCTTGGAGAAAGTTTAGACAAAGAAATACACGTGTCTCCTGGACTTCACAAATGCATTCTCTTTATTGAAAGCTCAAACGATGTAAAGACTGACTGATGAACAGAGCTCAGGTGTTTGTGGTTTTTTAAATGAACCACATGAACTGGCAATTTGCTCAAAAAAGTGTCTTCGGTGATTAATTAAATCAAATCAGAATAGTTGCTGATGGACTGATAATAGCTTTAGGTCTACGAGACAGGACACAGAAGCTTTGTCTTTTCCTAGTTTACATTACTTTCTACACAGCTGCCACCTTATATTAAAGGGTGGAAACACCTCCACAGTTTAGAAATAGGTTGATTGAATATTTGGCTCTTTTTGGACATGAACGTAATACAATAAACAAAAGCTGAACACAAGGCGACAGCCTGCTCTTTGATAAAATGACTCTAATGAACCATTTAATCAGTTCACAGCTATCACCAGCTATCTGACACACTGATATTGTCTGGCAGTGTGTGTTTTTAAGGCAGTACAGTGTCAGTATTAAAATATGGTTTGGGTAGTTCTGGACTTTCATTATCTATCCAAATATATTTTTAAATGTAACAGTTTGTATTCCAGAAACGTGCTTTGAATCAAAGAGTATGAGCATAATGAGGTTTCAAGTATGTTTTCTGTTTCTCCATCTGAACTAAAACTCTCAGTAACAACGGTAAGCAGTGAGACAGGCATGTCATTTTCCAGCTAACCCTAGTTATTACCACCAATCAATAACATGGGTAATTAATGAGTGTTATCAGTGCTTTAACTGACACATTCTGGCAAACTTCATATACTTCTGTCATTGCCCTCTGCTGGTTAAGTTTCTTTTTTTTTATTTTCAGCCTTGATGATCAAGCTGATGGCAGCAACTTTGCAGCCGTCTTCCTCATATGCACACATTTTATACAATAAATGAAGTATATGTGACATTGCTGCAGTGAGGATCATCCTTATTGACATAAGGTATATTTGGAGAATTTTTTGTTAATTCTATGCACTAAATCAGAAAAAAACCACAAGGAAAGCATCACCTGGAGTACTTTTTCACAGCTGCTGTCATAAGTCAAACACTTAATTCCCACATTATTTTAAGAGGAAACAAAAACTGCAATCCAGTGAGCTGATCAATAATTAGATCCTTAAAATGTAGTTGTGGGTTATTAGATAGAAATTACAACAGTGAAATCAGGCTTTGTGATTATTCTCATTGCTGAAATGGACATTTTTGTAGCTTCTGCCTCATCCCATCAACCAATATTACAATGATTGTGAATAAAGAGACTGATACACGCACATACCACAGTTCGCTTTAACAGCAGTTAACACAGATACGCCAGTTACAGCTATTAGAATTATGTTGAGGAGAGATTTTCCTCGATAACATGCTCTCTCCCTACTCTGTAATAACAGCGGCTATTACCCAAGATGTCTCACTGCCATGCCATCTCTGTGGACAGTGAGTGGGTTTTTGTCTAAGTGCATTTGTGCCTATGATAGGGTGATTAAGAATGAAACAATCAGCAGGCCAACACAAACACAGCTGTTTTATTGTTGCGCTGCTCAGTTGTGCTTTCACAGGCAGACGGCGTGTGTGTGTTCGTATGATATATATGCAAAGACTGACCCCACCTCCTGTTCAGCCCCGCCTGTTCTAATGAAAAGCTTTGGCAGCAGAAGCTAATGTACAGAATGCCCCCCATCTCTCTTTGTGGTTTTTGTTGTTCTTAAATCTAAAGCAGTTTTTAAAAATGTCTTTTATTATATGTGTCCTTGAGTACAGCCCATCAGTAATGGCGTAATTTAGCAGATTCACTACACCATTCCACTGCAGCGATTGTCATTGCTGCTGTGGAATGTGCTTAGAGTTGTATGTTATTTTTATTATGGAAAATATTTAGGCTAATAATCACACTTAGCTGCCATTTAGTTTCACTTTATTTTTCATTCTGTCATTGCTTTTATATTGGCTGTTCTCTTCTCTGGGAGGGCTTCTTTTAGCCCTAACAAAAGTGATGTATCTGCCACATCATTTTCAGGCATCAAAGACGCAGAAGCAGTTGCAAGGAGGAGTTAAAGCATTTGGCATTAGTCAAAAAGATAGGGTTTGTAATGAAGCTTACAACGTTTCATGACCATTGTTGCTTTTTTCCAACTCTGGCACAAGACAAGTGCAGCCCTATTAGTCCTGCCTAGAAGGCAGCTGTGATTGTTTGAGTGAGCACAACCTGAGAACCACAGCACGGGGATGTGAGATGTTGGCACATATTTAAAGGCCACAATAAACTGGATTATTACAGCTTGCATAGCTTGATAGAATTATTGTATAAACTGTTTTATTGTGTTGCTATTTTCATTGGACTTGGAGGCTGCCAGCAGCTATATTATTGCATTCAAATGTTGCCATATCACTGGTGGAATTTCATTTCAACTTGACCACAGAAGTCAAGTTTGTTGTCATATGTTAGGCACACCTTGGTCTTTTATTTTTATTTATTTTTTGTGTATGTGTGCAAGAGAGTGAGGCACATTGAGTGCTGGCACTGGTGATGGTGCTTGGCATTGTGTGATGCCAGTTGGTGTTTGGCTCCAACACACAGAGGGCATGGTGTGTTTGTGTGCATTAGAGAGGTAAGTGGTGTGACCGGAGGAGAGATGAAATAGAAGCTATGAGAAAGGAAGCAAAGAGAAGATGGGAGGAGAGGGCAATATCAGCGATGAAGGGCCGAGTGAGGATGACCTGAAGGATGGAGGAGTGAGAAGGATGGGAGGGCGATGAGGGCAGACAGGCCTTGTCCCTGTGCCTTTGTGTGCATATGACTGCAAGTCTGTACCTAGTGCTTTTTGTGTGTGTGTGTGTGTGTGTGTGTCTGTTCCTGTGTCTTTGTACTGGCTAATCTAAGCGTCAGCAGCTTTTTGAGGCTTTTGTGCTGACAATAATCACACAGCGCTCCTCTTTTCAATTCATCAGCAACAACAACAAGGGATCACATGTCCCCTATACAGAATCGAGAGAGAGGGGGAGAGAGAGAGGGAGGGCATGGACGGAGTTAAAGTGGCCATCATGTTGCTTAGTTACTGCTCGGGTAGAATGTGATTTGGTGTGTGTGTGTGTGTGTGTGAGTGTGTGTGTGTGTGTGTGGGCAGGCACATGCAAAAGGTCAATGCCCTCTGTACCTCTGATCAGTGCAAACAGGACTGAAAAGTACAACCACACACTTACAAATGACCTCTCCTCCTCTTCTTTCTTCAAAGAATAATTTATTTCATGTTGCAGTGTGATGGATAAACAATGAGTAAACCACTGGTCAAATCTGTAGCAAGCATTAATGGTCATCAGAATAACATTAATAGGAATATTTTTTTCATTTATAAATAACAGTATCAGAGTAATTATTACATCTATACAAGCTACAAATATCAGCATTTTGTTGTGTTTTTTTTTCTCTGCTGTTAAAACCTTAAACACTTCACACATGACCTGGCTGGTGCAGCCGCCCTGCTCGGCCGCTCAGAGCACAGAGGAACTCTGCAAACTGGGTTGTTACTGATGATGATTTGCAGTTTGAAGGTTTCAAGGATGAAGGAATTAAAATTGGACAGTTTAAAATGTAAGAGCACCTGATTGTACCACAGTCAGACTTTTAAAAAGTGTTAAAATTATTTGTGCAACTGTCTAAAAGTCCAAAAGAAATGCAGTGCATTTAAAATCTAATAGCCAGGTGAAAGTGGAATGAATGGTGAAATGAAGCACTTATACAAAACTCACTCGTGTAAATCCACATTACAGTACTTTAAAAATAAAATCAAAGAAATGACATACATGTGATGGTGAGATTCAGTGAAACAAAACAGACAAATGAAGCCTGTAACAGGAATAAGACATAACACAAACTGACACCAAAGTTGGTAATGGTCTCCGTTGATCCAGTGCTATATTCTGAACATTCTCCCAATAAACCACCAGTAGTTGAGCCTGCTATTAGCAGTGGTGAATGTTTTGGCCAATAACAAACACTCATCATAAATTCCTACCCACTATGTGTCTTGATCATGAATCCTAACTAAACAAATGTAAGGAATCCTTCTTGTGCAAAAAAATGTTACTTGCATGCCTGTATGCGGCCAGGTGTGTAGGAGATAAAACTGAAAGACAAGTATCAACTTTAGCAAGCATGCGGTTTTGGTCAGGCTCCAGTAACTAAGTAAAATAAGTAATCTAAATGCTACACCAACTCAAAACTCAGTGTAATGCATCACACCTTCATCTGATTTCAGTTTAAAGCTCTCATACTTTTTTCACAGGTTTGAACTGATGGGACTGATATAACACCCAGATCTGAGAGATTTTTAAAACATGAAATAGAATCATTTTTGTCATTGATGCTTTGGGCGCCTGAAGGCAGCACAAGCCAAGAGGGGCAGCCAGGGAGGGGAGGGCTGGGAGCGCCACACAATCAAAACAAACACCTCAGTACAGTTAGAAGAGGAAGAAGTCAAAACAGTAGAGAAAATGAAGGGAAATAAACAACTAAGCTTGTTTTTTTGCCTAGTTTATCTCGGTGCGAGTGAAGATTTGGGAATGCTACTGTGCTTTCCTATTCAAGAGGCATGTGTTTGTGGATATATGTACCTCTATGTGAGTGGCTGAGGGTTTGTAGAAGAGAAGCTGTAATACAAAGGAGAAAAAATACAGAAACATCACTTTTTCAAAATTGTCCATGTAACTTAAAAACATCCACAATAAAAAGATTTTTTATATATTATCTACTTTATTTTTTTAGTCTGCTCCTGATCCCACATTTTGGGCTGAAGCCGTCGTCTTCCTCATCCTTTTGTTAACCCGGAGAGGGATGAAAAGCGAGCTCGGCGGAGGTTGAGGAGAAAGAGGACGCAGGTTTTTGTCAAGGAGGAGCTTTTCTGTAAGTGCAAGGATGTTCAATTTTCGTTGTTTTTAATTCACAAAAGTCTCAACATGATTTAAGTATTGTCTGACTCATGGTCTCTGAGCCCTCTGCCTCCTTCAGGAGGTTTTCTTTATAAAACATGTTCAGGGCAGTTTTGTCTTGGAAAAGATGGGCTGGCCAAAATCAACCATCAACCAAACTCTCCAAGTAGAATCACTTCAAGTTTCTGCATCAGGTTCTGAACATCAGACAGCTTCAAATGCATTTCACTGAAGATGTCAACCGGGTTTAACCCTGCACCTTTGGATGCGTTTTCTTACAGTCTTCTCACGGCCCTCGGTGGTTCCTCTTGTTTGCCGTGTTGCCTCCCTCGTCCTAGTCAGTCGTGGAGGAGTTCCTGTAGACAGCTGGGGGACTTGAAGACCTCAGGAACCTCACTGTCCAGTTTGCAGATCACCTTATAGATGGCCTTCTTCCAGGATGGATCTGCATCTTTGCCAGCCACTATGGCATTGAAGAACTCGCGAAGAGTCACCTGAGCCACCTCTAGAAACCGATCAGGAACCTGGAGCCAAAGGAAGTGGGCAGAGGAGGAGATAAACAGAAGGGAAAAGGAAGTCATGAGAGCTTTGATTGTCTGAATTGAAGAGGAACTTCCTTTCCCTTTATTGTCCTATATTTGAGTTTATAATATAGTATTTCTGATCATAAACGATGTCAAAACACAGGCCTGTTACTTCTCTATGACCAAAACAGGGTACATCCATAAACTACTGTGTGCGCTGGCATCTTCTGATTAGAGCCTTGAGATGTGCATTGTATAGCCATAGGTATGTAGACAGCTGACAGCTGAATATTAGAGCCACATATTAACATGTTATTCCACAGATGTTAGAACGTGGCTGTAGAGATTTGATCCCATTCAGTCACACGAGAACAACATATCAGAAATTACAGTTGAAATGAAATGAAAAATCATATGCAAGTATTTAGGGATGGTGGTTTTAGAAAAGTGATTGTGTGACTGAAACAGGTCACAGAATTAGATTGTGTGTGTTTGTTTCAGGTGTTCATATATTTCTGTTCCCATACAAAGTTCTTCTTCAGTGGTGAACTTCCTCTAAATGAACTTCCCTTTTTTAAACAGGCCCCAGCTGTGCATGTTTGTGTGTTTATGGTGTGCCTTATGCACACACACAGAGATAATAACATACGACACACTCGGTCCTTGACAATGACAGGTGAACAGTTGTCTGTGATCTGTGCGTGTGCGAACATTTGAACAAGAATGCAGGGATCCAATTGTTCTTTCAGCACGCTGTCATTACATCGCTGTGTGTTTGTGTGTGAGATTTAACGCTGTGTGTGTGCACATAGCAGTGTCTGACAGCGGAACAATGGCAGAGACATGCATGCACACACATTTTTCACTCTTTTTTTTCCCCCCTGCCCTTTCTCCCGGGGGCAAGATCATACAAAGACACTAAACAACCTGACTAGGATTTCCTCCCACCCCCACTCTCGCTTGTTCTTTTTCTTGCATGCAGATACACACACTCACAACCACACACACAAGACTCCTGAGTACAGGCTCCTAAACACCCCAACAAACACTCACATGTGTAAAGGACAGCAGAGCGCCATCTGGGTGTAACCCCGTCACGTGTGGCAGGACATGCCAAGGTTAGCGGCCACTAGAACGGATGAATCACCCTGCACGCACACTCGCACTTGAGCGCACACACCCTAAATGATTCCCTGGACTCTCGTATACTGTGTCTACCCTCTCTCTGTTTTGAGCTGGCTCCTTGAGACCAGAGTTATTTCAGTGAGGCCCTCTGTCACTGTCCTGCTATAGACAGGACTGTAGTACACAGTGTGAACACTCCAGGTGATATCTCCATCTCTGCCAATGGGTTAGATTTGTGTATACTTGTAAAATGTCTGTTTTATGATTTTGAAATTTGAATTTATGAATTTGAAACTTGTTATTTTTGGATTACATTTGCAATCATTATTTCTGCACTGTACTTAAGGCTAACAGGTCAGTAAATGAGTAGTGAGACAATCAAAGGTCATCTTCATCAAAACTGCTTTATTAGGAGGTGAACTGAAAACAAGTGCTTTTATACGTCAGTGCACAACTGCAGCAGGTCCAGTATGGGAGGTGAGAACTGAACTAGCAACTCACCAGTAAACAGTAATTGATATTTATAATAAAGAGTTATTATTTTGACTTTTATCTTTAGTTTAACTAACCTTGCAGTGTAAAAGTCTGATGGTGTGATTGGTTATGTTTGTTGCCCTGTTAGACTTCTTTTTATTGATGCTGCTGCATTTGAGATTAACTTTAGTACAATTATAGACATAGGAACGAGGCTGAAGGCTAAAAATCCTTTAAGAAACAAATGAATAAAATGAGTTTTTATCCTTAAACCTCTGCAGCTGCTACAATGTTGAATTTAAAAGGCAAAGCCTTGTTTAAGCTCTGCAAGAAAACTAAGAAAGCTCCAAAGTTAAGCTGCTGCTTTAAATAGTTGCTCTGAAAATGCAGACTGAGACAATTCAAAGTTGAAACCTGAGCTTGATCTTGAAGATGACTGTGCCTTTGAGGTGCCGTTCTCTCAGATTATATTCCTTCATCCTTTAGTTGTTTAAATTAGCTCTCATCTACAAAAATGACAAGTTCTTTTTTATTCCTTGCTGATGTGAATATAAAGATTTTACTTATACAGTATATTGGCAATTATTTTACATTCATTCTGGTGACATAGTTTAGCTGCAAACCTGGGCTCTGTCATTAAACCTGTCTCTGTTTCATCATTCATCAGATCACAGAGAGCAATGAAACAAATAGCACCGTGCACAGTACAACGGTAATAGGATTCAATAACCTTGACCTAGAACGACCGTGATCAGAGTGTCTGTGTTGCAGGGCTGGTACTGTCTTGTTCAGCATGATGATTAGTGTGTTTTTAAAATGTTTCAGGAAGGCGTGCGTCACTGTTGCAGTGCCAAACGGACTCAAAGTGCTGAAACAAGATGACAATGGGGAAAAAAGAGGACACTGCTGATTCATATAGAGGTAAGGAATCACAATCAGAATGAATGAAATGAAGAAGGAAGGACATTCTGTCTGGTCTGTGTATCAACTTAACTGGACAAACAAACACACACACACACACACAGACAAACACTTGGGTCCAGATGCACAGATTTGTCTGGCCATCATAAATCAGTCCAATAAAGAGATCTAAATTAGGCCATCATCAATACAGATGGGCCTGATTCCCCAGTCTGTGTGTGCGTGTGTTTTACTCCTGGCTTGGACCTTGATACTGTATAGTTGCCAGGAGAGAGAGAGAAAGCAAGGAATGGGGAAAGTGGGAAATAGAAAGAAAGACAGAGGAAGAAAGACACTTCGTTCCCATTAAACATAATTCGCATGATTGCTCCGGTTTGGTTGGTAAATATTGGATGAGGGAGGCTCAGTTATTCTCTCTTCACTCACACTCATACCCACACACACACACACACACACACACACACACACACACACAGAAGGACAAGAGCCTGTAAATCTCTAAATCACTGCCCAACAAAGAGGCCTACTGGGACACCCTCGCTCCCTCCTTTTTCCTCATCTCCTTCCTGTCTCTCATCCTCTCACTCTGTCCTTCCATCCTTTTTTGGCTCCTCTCTTCTTCTTGGAAATGTATTTTTAGTAATTTTTTTTAAAAATCTTACAATTAATTGCAAGCTCACTTAAACTGTTTTTTTTTCATCTTGCATGCCGGCTTATGGTGTATTTTCAAATGTTTGAAATGAAAAGTGTCGACTGTAACATTTGCTGTCACCCACATTGAAACTTCATTTATTACTTGAGCTGTGTGTTGCTGTATACTGCTTGTCTTCAGCCATCTTCTGCTCTTTACCAGTTTATGGTCATTTTTGTTCTCAAATTGATCAGTCTTTGTCATTTGGTTTCATTGTCTGTATTTCAGTGTCACCTTCTCAGTTGCAGTTTAGCAATATTAAGCTCCCACTGTTGAAGATTTATCATGTGCTCAAAGTTATGGCCCATTTCATCAGGACAGATACAAAGCCATGATATTCTAAAAGATGGAAGCTTCTAATTGCAGCACTTTATCAGTATAAGTAATTTCACTGCTTTATCTTGCTTACAAATGGTGTTTTAACAGAATTTGCTTCTCTAAAAACTTGTAGTTTTCTCTTTCCTGGAAAAACAATAAGGATAATCACCTTTATTTGGCCAAGTATGTTACACACAAGGACTTCGTTTCCGGTACAGAACCGACGCAGCCATCTGCGGCATTAACTCAACCAAAGGGTCTAACCATCGGGGGCAACCAGTGTCTTGCCCAAGGACACTTCGACATGTGGACTGGAGGCACCGAGATTCAAACCTTCAACCCTCCGAACCAGAGTCGCCCCAGAAAAAACAAAGTTAATTGAGGGGGCATTTGGATTTGAACCGGAGACCTCTTGATCTGCAGTTAAATGCTCTACCACTGAGCTATACAATGTGAAACATTATAGGTTTCCTGAAGCACAATAGTAGCAGCAGCTTGTTGGCAGTTAACAGAGGAAGACATGACACTGCTAACACAAGCTGCCACAGGCAGAGACTCATACTATCACTAGAAAGGCTGGAAAACCTGGGGTGGTGAAACATCACAGCTAGAAGCTTTTAGCAAGAGTAGCTTTGCTAATTTAGTCTTTTTTTTAGTGCAGGGGATAAACACAGAAGGGCACTAACAATGATTTTTAGAATAAAGGTGAGTTATAAATAGATTACTTCTTAACAGCTACACTGTCCCATTTTAACTCATCCAAAACAGAACAACGTATAGATTTAAGTTTGGACTGAAGTGGAACAAGTAGCATCATCACACAGTAAAAACTGGCTCTTCTAAAGACATTAATGTTGAGAATATCTTCACTTTATCCATGGCATTGTGACACTGATGCACTGGTTGCATAACTTTATCACTAATGCAAAATATAAAATGTTACATTCACCCCGTTCCTGGTCTTTTTTTGTTCCAGGTGTCTCCTAACTGAAATATGCCACATAAAAACAGCTCTTCCTTATTATAGCAAAGGCATTTCTCTCAAAACCTGACAAGGTACGCATGATTGTTGCCTACTTGCGGATTTGGTCTGCCATATAATTATTGTGGCCAATGTGACACTGATGTCTGTCTGGGTTTGTTGCTGTTCGTTCTGTTCAACAATCAGTAGCTTCTGCTTAGACTCACTGCCCACTTTAATAGTCAGACCTGTACAAATGTATGCACTTCTGCCTTAACACCTGTCTATGAAGCTCAAAATATTTCTGTTTTTGGTGAAATTATCATCAATGTATAAATTCAATTATAAGGTTATTATATTCAGAGATGTCTATATTTTTCTATCTTCCCCAGCTACATGCATGAGAGGGTCAGAATATTAGGAATATAATGTAGTCCAGTACAACACCACCTTTAACTATGACCTCAGTAACAAACATATCAGCGATACATTTATGACAATTTCGCCAAT